GTTCAGCATTGTGCCTGTTCCTGCATAGCGCAGGCGCTCAAAAGGTAGGATTAGTTCAAGATGCCATATGTAAGGACTCTTGTTTGAGATTACCCCACCTGCCTTCATCCTACCCTTGTATCTCTTTGAAGAACTGCTGCAGGTCACTGTTCCGTACGATGTTGCACTATAACAAGAATAGCACATAAAAGACAACAGCGGTCTACAGCATGCTATGATATACTGCAATCTACTACAATGAACTTTGTAGTGTACTGTACACTAAACCCTAAACCCTTTACTGTACAACTTACATCCTGACGGTGTTGGCTCGTCCCCGTCAGGGTGACTACCAAGCGCCTGAAGGGAGCGACAACTTCCAGGCGACCATGGTCCGCACTGTCAGGGTTTAGGGTTTAGAGTTTAGTTAATTTAGGGTTTTGATGCGTGTGCGTGTGTATACATGAATGTGTGTATAGTTACATCTTGTGTGTGGGTGCCCATGTGCATACAAGCATATGTGCATACTTGTGTATGTAATTCAATGTAACGTAATATAACGGAGTGTAATGTAATGTAATGAAATGTAATGTAATATAATGCGATGCAATCTAGTCTATGTATGTATGTATGTATGCATGCATGGATGGATGTATGTATGTATCTAGTATCTATGTATGCCTGTATGCATGTATGCATGTATGTATGTATGTATGTATGTATGTACGCATGTACGTGCGTATGTATGTATGTATGTACCGTACGTATGTGTGTATGTCTGTATGAAAGGATGTCTGTGTCTATGTATGTATGTATGTATGTATGTATCTACGTATGTATGTATGTATGTATGTATGTATGTAGGTATGTATGTTTGTAGGTATGTATGTTTGTATGTATGTATACATGTATGTATGTATGTATGTATGTATGTATGTATGTATTTGTGTACGTACGTATGTATGTATGTATGTGTGCGTGTATCTATGTATGTATGTATGCATGTATCTATGTATGTATCTATGTATGTATGTATGTATGTATGTATGTATGTATGTATATTTGTTTGTATGTATGTATGTATGTATGTATGTATGTATATTCTACATCTACTTATGTATATATGTATGTATACATATGTATATATATATGTGTATATATATATGTGTGTGTGTATGCATGTTTATGTACACACACATATACATATATGTTTATGTTTAATTACACACATACAAACACCCATACATGCATGCACATCTGCAGGTGAACTGATGTTTGTAATTTATGTATCAATGAGTGAGCGAGTGAATGAATGCACGAATGCAAAAAGACTGACTGTACAGCATATTGCATGTATGTGTGTTTTGAATGAACGGCTGAATGTATACGTGTATGCATGTATGTATGTATACATGTATGTTAGGTATCTAGGTATGTAGCATGCATGGATGGAGGTATGATGTATGTACTCATGCGTGTATACGCATGGTGTCCAAAGATGCATAGTTTCAGGTTTGAAGACTTTACGAGTCAAGTGTTGTGGAGTTCGGGCTTGTTTCTCCAAGCAGTGTTACAATGTGCATTATGGTTAATTGTCTCCTAAACCCAACACGCATTGCCTTCCCAGACCAAGCACCGGAGTTCTGGGCAGGGTGTTGCGAACCATGAACAGTGTTCCAGTGATCTTTGAGATCGTACCTGCTTCTTCAGAAACTGGATACCATGGCTGCAGCGGCTAGTTGCATTTCAGTCCCAAACATCCTCAAGCCTATACCCTTCACTTTCAACCCTGACCGACCGTTTGTCAGAGGGAGCACTTGTCGCCCTCGACTGCGTACCAGGCCTTTCTGCAGTACAAGTCTGTGTCCCGCCGCTGAATTGAACGATCATCTTGCTCATCAAAATGCAGACAGATGATGCAAAAGGGGAGGCTAGCCACATCTGCATACTTCGGATTTTAATGGTCTCGAATTCGGAGGTTTCCAGGTTGCAAATGTGCCGGAGCTGTGAAGCGACAACATGCGCTGAAGCGGGGACTTCATTCCTTCTGCAGGAGTTGATCTGTTCACACGTGTTCTGGTCGCCCAACTCATTCAGCAGCTTTGTTGAGGTTCGATGTAGACGACGCCCTTTGCGTCATGAAGGCCGAACCTTCTGTCGCTGAACGTTTGCCATAGGAATCTTCTAAGTACATTCCCCTCCCAAACTTTCGCGTGCTGCATGGTGCCCAAGACTTCGTTTGCTGCTGTGTGACCGAGTTTACATCCCAAAGAAACTCATGGGGATGCAAGCATCACGGATTCTACAGTATATGCGAACGCAAGACCCCCAAACAGGTACATGCGTCGTGGCTGAGATACTTCTTAGCATGACTGTCGCAGTAGTCTTCCCACTGGATTGCTTGACCATTCCTATTTGCTGCAGTAAACAACCCAAGAGGCGGGGAAAAGAGAGAGAGAGGAGAGAGAGAGAGAGAGCGAGATAGGTCATTACATGTATACATATATATATATATACACACACATGTAGAAGCCTGGACAGATACACCCACGCACTCGTGTTTGGGGAGCTATCATCATGCTCAGGTTCGTGCTAACTTCCTCATCTGCTTTCTCACGATGCAGATGTCAGTATGATGACGAGAAAGTTTGGGGCAATATGAATTTGGCTACGACAAGGACGATCAGGATGCAAATGATGGTGCTATTGTTGTTGGCGGTGGTGTTGATGATGGTGGGGAGGAAGGTGGAGGAGCATGAGAAGGAGGAGTTTCATCATCATCATCATCATCATCCAGTGCAGCATCATCGTCGAAACGGCGGCCGTGAGAAATGGCGACGGTGGTCACAGTGATGATGACAGCAGCGATGACGACCACCACAACGATGCTGATTGTGATGATATCGGTATGCTGACGATGCTGGGAGGGTGTTCATGAGGATGGCGACGACGACTCTGGTGACACTGGTGACAGTGATGACAACTGATTCTGATGCTGGGGATGGCTGTGGAAATGTGTGATTTGCAGGGCTTCTTCCGCGACATTACGATCCCGGACCGATTTGTGCGGTCCTTGTGAAATGCCATTGTCCTTTCGACAGTGCAGATTGTGCCGGTTGTTGGCAACCGTTGCAAGCAGGGGGCATCGCTAGCTTCCAACTCCCGGAATTTCACAACACGACTGCACGAAATCCAGATCCAGATCAGGAAAGTTTCGCTTTCGTTCACCTGGATTCTGACCTCTATGACTCCGTCTACGATTCCTTGGAGAAGGCAACGTCATAAAATATTTGCAGGGTGTTGTCTTCTCGTGTCATATTTCATTGTACCATAGGGGCCATGCACTGAGAAGAGACTGCTCAGTGGGCATGGCAGAATGTCCCAAAATGGAGGTGTGGGACCGACTATCGCCGGGTGGTGCAGTGGCAGTGGATGACTTCTTCCACCATGCACAGGCCTGATCCGAACAACACTTAGAGCTTAGGATGTAGGCCTTGGGTCTTAGTAAGTTAGGGTATGAGCTCGCGGCAATGTTTTCAGTAGAATCTGAGAGCGGAGCACAATGCCTACACCTGAGATTCTGGGAAGAAGCATGCTCTCCACAATATTCCCAGACTGCTAGCCTGATGCCCTGCATACACCTTACTAAAGACTAAAACCCTCAGAAAAAATATATATATATAAAGGCCGGAAGAAGAATGTAATATAGCATAACTAAACCCTAAACCCTGTTCTTATTATTCAAGCCCCCCCCCCATATTTTCCATCTTTTTCAGGGCCCAGCGCGCGCCGTCTCCGACTTCTTCCGGTCGCGGGCCAGCAAGGCAGAAATCTTGCAGTTTAGGGTTTATAGAGGTTTAAGCTTTAGGGTTTAGGGGTTAAGGTTTAGGGCTTTGGGGTAAGGTTTAGGGTTTAGGGATCTTGCAAAGCTTGATTGAGATGGATTTAGGGCTTAATGTTTAGACTTACTCTCGTGTTGCCATCGGTTGCTGCTTCCGGGCTCGGTGAAAATACGCAAATTTCATACAGTTTCAATTCTAGCTGTGCTCAGCTGTGCAGTAACTTGTAGTCACCCCTTTGAAGGAATCCTATGCAGTAAGGTCAACTAGTATATCTCGTGCAGTCAGCAAGTTTTGCAGTTCGGCACGACAGTCTGCAACAGGAGCTGCAGAGGCTTGAAATCAAAACCCTAGACCATCAACCTTAAATCCTAAACACTATAGACCTGAATCCTAAATCCTGAACCCCAAACCCTAACCCTAAACCTTAATTTTTAGTTGTAGTTACGCTTGGCATCATCAGCTCGTTCGTAGCACATGGCGTGCGAGGAAACACAGCGAACAACGATCAGGAAGGCTGTGCTGTAGTTCAGGGTTCCTGAGATACTATACTATGTTATGCTAATCCTATACTCTCGTATCACATGCTATGCTATACTGTACTATACTTTACTATACTAGAACAATATGCTATACCATAACAGTTAACACTATGCTCTACTCTACGATCATTTCGCATAGCATACTATAACATACTGTAGTATCTTGTCTCTGTAGGGTTTAGGGTACCTTAAGAATGGAGCTAGGCAAAACCAGGAGCTCTCGACGTTTGACTGACTTGAAAGCTTTGGCCCATGCTTCGTGGACGGTGTGAAGGGGTTGTTCCAAAAAGAGTAAAAGTATAATTAGTCTGGTATAGCAGTATAGCATAGCATAGTAGAGTATAGTAGTATTAGCATTCGTATTCGTAGCAGTATTGGTAGCAGTATCAGTATCAGTATTAGATAGTATAGGACAGTATAGTACACTATACTATAAAGTATAGTCTGGTCTAGTCTAGTCTAGTGCAGTATAGTTTCGTTGTAGTATAGTGTATAGTGTAGTATAGTATAGTACCGTGTAGTATAGCGAATTTCCTTCCCCCAACCCAACCCCATTTGTGCCATGAAGGGTTGGGCGCTGAACCCAGGCTTGTGGTTTAGGGTTCAGATGAGACCATGTCCATACAAATCTGGACGCCAGGAGGAGCCTCCTTTGCTTTTCCCGATCCCCACCTATGCAGTGCGAGACTGAGCTGCCTAGCTTCAGGCTGCAAGCCGAGAAGGCAGGTACGTAAGTCGGCAGGTAGCTATGGCAGTTAGATCGATGGGTGGGCGGGTCCATGCATGTAAGCATGCATGCATGTATGCATGTTGGTATGTTGTGTATATGGGCGTGTTTGTTTTTGTTTCGCTTGTGGTCGTGCACGCGCGCGCGTGTGTGTTTGCATGGTGCGTTGGTTTTTGGGTTGTGCGTGAAGGCGGCCCACACATCGTGAGTCCCTTTCTGCTAGGGCCGTATCCAGCACCGCAAGACTAGCAAAGAGTTCAGACCAGACTCTCAAGCAAGGTCGCGCGTTTAGGGTGTAGGCCTGCTCACCGCGAAGGACAAGTACCGGCTCGTAATTTAGACCCCCGGTCTTAAGGACCATCATCGTAGGATCCCAGCTGTAATCCTTAGTACGATGTCTGCATACATGCCAGCACTTGCAGTGGACTTGTGAAATGTGCATCGGTGTAGGAAGAGAGGAAATTCCGAATGACCTAGCGACATGCACAGAGATAGGCATGTAGGCACGCTCCTGCAAAAAGGCATGCAGGTACTTTGACAGATGGGCAATGTATGTGCGCACATGAATAGGGGCACAACAGAGCAGGATGCAACAATTTGCCGCTGGCTGGTGTACATGTCCGTAGCGAAGGCCAGCAGGTTAGTATCAGATGATACAAAGCCCCAACCACGATTCGCATGCAGCTCGTAGCTCCGGCATTTCCTGCCGGTGCTGCTGTCTATATACGAAGCAGCCCAGACTGCACTGCGCGCCCTTCCATCGGATATCTCGCCACCAAGATGGAAAACACAACGGACATGAGCAGACAGAATATTTGGAAATAAACAAAGGTGCTCCTCGTCAAGGGCCAGTCGGCGCGCGTCGGCTGGCAGGCGGGGCTGACCGCCAGAACGTTTTCCGAGCAGCTTGCTACATGGATTTCGGGCTGACGGGTGAAATTCACCACTTGGGGAGACTTGGCTTATGTGCCTTAGATCCTTACAGTCGTGTCACGTAAGCTGCTGATCGAGATGCGTCGCATCTTCACCTCACAACTCTAGTGGCCTTTGAGGACAAGCAAGAAGATCTCACGGTGCGATGTTGTGCAGGATACTCCGCAGGGGTCACAACGCCCCGTCATGTATGGCCCTCGTCGGCCACTCAGCGTGCTTCCGCCCGCGATTGAGGAAGTAGGCTAGCAGAACAGCAGTCATATCCACAATCATGGTGGTCACAAGGGTAATGATGGAAAGGAAGCCCATTCTGATTGCAACCATCAGAAGCATTCCACGACTCAACAGGGGATGGTAGGCGACAACAAACCCCGGTACTGATGCTACTGCCGATGTCGCTGCTGCTGATGACGATAATAATCATGATCATGATGGTGATGATGATGATGGTGGGCATTGGTTACGAAGATGAATTTCATAACCATGGTGATTGCATTATGGCCCTGTAGGCCGGCAGGGAATCTGTCAGGACAGATAAGCCGCGGCAATGCCAGAGCATGTCGATCTGTGCGGCACTACCCTTGGAGAGCAGGAAGCCAAATCAATGCAAGCGTACCAATATTAAACCAAACGTAAAGCATTTTTTGAACCATGTCTTGTAACCTGGTCAGGACGTGGCCATCCATCCCGGAAGCAACGCTAGCTGGTCGACACAACAAGTAGCATCAAGAGCATTGAAAGCAAATGGCGATCTGCTTCGACTGCGAAAGAACCATATGAGCTCATATAACCCATTGCAGCAGGACCATCGTTACTTGCCTCCATGACAAACACTGTGAGGCAATGTCGCTCATGCTGCCGACTAGCAGCTTGTGCCTCGTTAACTCGAACTATCTTTGCATGCGTTCAAGTCCGCATAAACATGTGTAACTAATTATGTCTATGTGCCGAACTGCGCTTGTGCAGTTGTTCCATGCCCGTTCAGGTTGTAATTGCAGAGCTGTTCCGGCTGAGGAGTAGTTCTTACCCTTACCACACTCTCGGGCGTAAGCCGGAAACACCTGCACTGCTATGCGCAGGATTGTGGAAACGACCAGACTCCAGGGGTCCTTCAACTCCTATCAACCTTTTGTGTACATTATATGTAATATCACAGCATGCTCTAGTATATTATAGTATATTGCAGTGTAGTAAGTAAGCATAGTAGAGTATACTATGCCCCAATGCGAAGCTGCCCGGCTCTCTCCAGCTGTCCCTGAGCCTCCTTACCCTGCAGCAGGATCTATCGATGGCAACTTCTACAGTTTCACGTTTCTCCGAAGCCTGGGGCTCAAATCGGGTTTAGAGTTTAGGAAGTTATGAGACTTCCTGAATTCTCCCCACATGTTATTGTAGTCTAATGGGACCCTAAGCTAGACTTCAGATCGCAGGATCCTTCTTGTCGGGTGCTTATCATAAGAACCCCGGAGGTTTAGGCTGAAATGGTATAACCCGATAGATTTAAGAACACATCACATAAGTTCTCCTCTGCTTGGGGTGTTGGCTTCGATGCTGGCGCTCGAAAACTCTTCTGTCTCAGACTTCCAGGGATGTCAGCAGTTTGGCATTTCAGTTTCCGTGCACAAGAACTCCTAAACACCCCCTAAACCCCAACACCCTAAACCCTAAACTCCAAACTCCCTCTACCCCTGAACCCCTAGACTCCCTAAACCCTAAACTCCCTGAAACCCCTAAGCCGCTAGGCTCCCTAAGCCCCAAGCCCTGTTCTGTCTTTGGTAATCCTTTTCGAGCTCTGCCTCGGGCTTTCTCCCAAACCCTAGGGCCATCGATCTGAACTTCCCAAGTTAGAAACTCTTAGGGTTTAGGGGTTCAGGGTTTAGGGTTTAGGGGGTTTAGGATTTAAGGTTCAGAGTGCATGGTTTAAGGTTTATAAGGGTGCATGGTTTAGGGTCCGGGGTGGACCATGTGCCCAGGTTGTCTGCCATTCTTGCGAGCAGCGGAGGCACTCTGCGACGGATGGATGCAGCCGTATACCTAAAGTCTCAGGTGTAGTTCCTTTTGGGTTTACCTTATAGAGGTCTAGCTATAAAATTGGTTGAATCCCCGAAAGGATATACAATGGAGGCTATCTGTAGGTCCTATAGGTAAGGATCCCAGACATGGATGCTTTCTCCACGCCGAGGCATCCAAGGCACGGGCCAGCGAGGCACCCTCCTCGAAGGGGTGTCGGGCTTCAGGGCTTGGAGTGTAGGCTTTGTGGCTTTGTGCGGTTCAGTTTAGGATCTAGGATTTGAGGGTGTAGCTGTTCAGGGTGTAGGGTCTGGGCTTTGAGGGTTTACAGTGAGATAGGTGGGGGATGCTGATGAATCGTGCGTTAACAAGTCAGGACAACAACAGTTTTCACGATCAAGACGACACGGATGTGACGAGGACGATGACGGTGATGACAGTGCTGACGACAAGTTTTACGGTCAAGACGACACAGATGGACATGAAGACGAGGAAGACGGTGGTGGCAATGCTAACGATGATAGTGAGGATGGTGCTGCTGCTGATGATGATGGTGTTGAAGAAGAAGATGTTGGCGATGTTGATGTTGATGTTGATCATGAGAGTGTCGATAGTGTCGCAAGCATGATGCGGATAAATGCGTTGTCGATGTGACAAAACTTGTGGTGAGTAGGGTGAGACTGTGTCGTGGAGGTGATGAGTCGATCGCAACGAGGGATCCGATTGCGGTCGCCATCGAAACGTTGTCGTCGTTGCTGGTGAGAATGATGAGCCGGTTGGTTTTGCCGGTGATTGTGACCATGGCAACAGAACCGCTGATGCTGAATTCTTGACAAGTCTATACTAGCGAAGTATGGGCTCTGAAGATGGAGACTGCAAGGGCAACCGCGATAAACAAAAATATACTGTACTACCAGTAGCGGTGAAGATGGCGATGATGTCACGGCTAATCGTAGCTCTGTCCATTAAGATGGTGAAGAAGAAGAAGTTGCAGCGCGAAACCTTAGAGTCTTATACCCCTCCTCCCAGCTCCACAAAGGAGAAGCCCAGTAGTAACTAGAGTAGGTACCCCAACCTTGGGGTACTTTGATCCCAATGGTTACTAAACCGCAAACCCCTAAAACCCTACACCTGTAGCCTAAACCCTAAACCCTATACCCTAAGTTCCCGGGACTTCTACTCTGTACGCAGGTGGAAAAGGGACCATAAAAAACAAAAAAAAAACCTAAGTTCCCCCAGGATGCTGGAGAAGTAAGGAAGGCCCCCACTCCTCGGCGAGGCCCTGAAAGCTGCCAAAGAGAGCTCCGAGCTGCAGGCTGTCCCCGGATTAGGGTTCAGAGGGTCGTCAGGTTTATAGGGTTTTTAAGGTCTTTGGGGTTTAGAGTTTAGGGTTCAAGGTGTTTAGGGTTTAGAGTTTAGGGTTTAAGGTTTTGGGTCGGGGCTTAAGGTTTAGAGTTTAAGGGCTACGTTTTAAGGTTTAGGTCAGGGTTTAGGGCAGAGTTTAGGGTTTAAGGGTTGCGGTTGAAGGTTTTGGTCAGGGTTTAGGGTTTAGGGTTGTGCTGGTTTTACCTGGACGAGCCTGTTTGGGGACACTATGAGTTCGGATTTGTTACTGTAGTTAAGTTTCCTATTGGCTTCGGTTGGTTCATGTTTGGCCCTTTTAAGTTTAGGGCCTGTTTTGGAGGCCCTTGTCAGTCACGGTCTACATTGTATATGTGGCACCTCTAGGCGAGTTGAGGGTTTGGGAGGGGAGGTGTTGAGGTGTCGGGGTTGCTAGAGCTTGGGCTTCAACCCACTGAATGCACATGCTAAGTATTTTGTCCAGCTTTGCAATTGCAATGCAGGACGGTTCGACTGGGGCGTCTGTTGAAAAATCAGAATTGTTTATATGTTTCGTCGGTCTGCCATGAACCCTCATAATTATGGGTTTGTCGTTGGACTTTTTTCTACCGTCAGTTCAATACCTTGACATGTGCAGTCAACAAAGGATCGTCGTAGCTGCCACAAATCCTTAAAATGTCTGAAGCAGCTCAGGTGAATAGACGGCAGCCGTAGCATATGGCCAACGAACCTGTGGAAAGTCGCATGCGCTCAGCACTTGTAAAGCACATATAATCTTGAAGTGCCTTCAGCTTTCAGTCCGGAGGGGTGGGGGGCATGGGGTGCTAAGCCTAATAAGGTTGCATCATTGTGTCGCAGCCTTGCACTCATCCACGCGTAGCCCAAGGCTGTGAACATGGAATGTCCAAGCCCGAAACTTTACGCTCTACCAGCAAGGAAACAGACAGAATCTAAAGCAAACCAAGACAACGAGAAAGTAAAGCTGCATGAAGCCTCAACCTCCAGGTTCTCTGAGTTCTCAAAGTTGGCAAGTGGAATTCAATAGGGAACCCCAACGTAGAACCATAGTTCATAACAGGCAACAGGATCTCTGATACCCAAGTTCATCAGGATGTTGCAGCCTACGCGCGAGTGTGTGCAAACGCAGAGCAGGGCGCTCAAGCAAACTTCACTGGTAGGTTTGGACCCGGCTGCGATAGCTTACGCTTGGTCATGTTTCGCTATATGGCTCTAGCATCGCACACTATAGGACATTGTTACTGTTAGTATTCTTGTTATTGGGTTGTCAGTCTCCTATACTAAGCCCTAAACCCTAAACCTTTATAGATCACTGATATGGACCCTTTTAGGACCCCTGGGACCCCTTAAAGGAACTCTTTCTTAGGTGTTGTCCTAACCTCGCTTCGGGAAGCTGTGCTGAATGAACACCGGCGACACTTCTCTTCGTTCTTGTGGGGCCTGCCTTTGGGAGCTGCTCAACTTCGAGCTGCTGTTGTTGTTTGTTCTTAAGTTGTGGTCGAAGGCAAAGCTTTGACGATGTTCAGGGGTTTACATCAAACTCTGCATCAGCGCCGCTTGACAGAGCAGCTGCCATTCCAGCTATATGTTGGCCATGCGCATTTGTGTGTGTCCTGCTCCAGCTGGGTCATTGCGAGGCCGTTAGATTGAACTGACATGCTGAGGGTTGAATGTAGCAATCCAGCTTCGGCAGCAACACATGCAAAAGTATTCGAGCACTAGCAACTATGGTATCAACCTCACATCAATAGCAGTCTAGGTAGAACCACATGTGAACACACAGCGGTATAATACTTTCATTTGCTTCTACATATGCATGTCTGCACTCAACAAACCCTTGCAACAGGTTACTAATGTGCATCCCCAAAATGCAAAGTACCATGCTGTGCAGTGCAGCGTTGCTGTCTCGATATCGACCCGCGTCCGTGCATAGGAGTGCAGCCATGTCACTTTTCCATAATTTGCTGCACATCAAGCCGATCTACGAGGTGCGTCTACCACTTGTACGACGGCTACTGTTACTGCGAATGCTCCTACTGCTACTGCTACTGCTGCTGCTACTGTTACTGCTCCTACTGCTTCTATTGTGCTTTCTGTTCCTGCTGCTACTGGTTTTGCTACTGCTTCCTTTCAGTCCGCTACTACTGCTACTACGATACGACGACGACTTCTTTTGCTTTTCAGTTCTAGAAGGAGTGGCACATGTCGTCGTCTTCGTCGTCGTCGTTGTCGTCGGCCTCCTCGGTGTGGCTGTGGTCGTCGACATCGTCTTCGTGTTGCAGCAGTGCCAGCATAGTCATCAGCAGTGGCCATAATAGCATGGTTGGGTTATCATGTTTTGACCGTTAAAGGGGTAGTTGGAGTCGGTGTCGACGAGGTGGTGGTTGTGGTTGTGTTGATGTTGTTGTTGTTGTGGTGGTGGTGGTGGTGGTGATGGTGGTGGTGGTGATAGTGGTGGTGGTGGTGGTGGTGGAGGTGGTGGGGTGGTGGGGGCGGCGGCGGTGGTGGTTGGTGGTTGGTGGTTGGTGGTTGGTGGTTGGTGGTTGGTGGTTGGTGGTTGGTGGTTGGTGGTGGGTGGTTCGTGGTGGGTGGTTGGTGGTGGGTGGT